TAAAAATGCAATTTTTAATTACAATGCAATGAAATAAAATTAAATACATGTACCTGGTACATAGAAATGTGAGTATATAGTCATAAAATGACAACTCTGTGTAAAACTTGTCTCCAAGATAATAGAGATAATATGGAAAAGGGACTGTAGAATGGTGTGCAGTTAAGATAGATGCCTACTCATAAATGAAAATACCCAGAATTTATTCATTTTGCAATAAATTGTTTGGGGTCACCAGCCTAATTTCCGAGAAAAATAGTTGTTGTATTTTAGTGGTTAGTTGCCATTTTGGCAGTATTGTAATGCTTTTACCATGGATTCCTATGGAAGAGATATTATGCCATTTCTCAAATTGTAGACATTTTGTTGTCTGAATTATTTCAAAAATCTGGGTTTTAAAAAGTGTGTTCTATGAAATTTTAAGGTGCAATGGGACAATAGCTACTTGATAGTACATAATTAGGTAATGAAATTTGTCATACGATTTATGAGTAATTTTCTGAAAGGTTATGAGTAGACTTCTACCTTAAAGGGCGGTAGTCGTCGTGTCACGTCCTGTTCGATATGGGACTCACAGCGACGTTTACAACGCATGTAAAATACATGTTTATTTACATGAAATTGGAACACGCGCTGCGCAATGACCACCACGCGTTAAGCTCAAGTTTTCAGGTTTAAAGGGTGGTAGTCGTCACATTGCGCATGCATGAGATATATGGGTCTCACATAAACAAAGGTAACGACTTTTACTGTTGTGCAGATCAATGAGTACAAACTGAGACGTTACCAAGCTTTAATTAGATATTTTTAGATGATTTGAAGGTATTGAACGAGTCACCGGCAGTAATTAGTGCTAGTCGCGCCCAGGTCAAATCTCATACTTGTGATTTCCATTAGCGCATTTGATTTTGTAGGAAAATTAATGTTTATCCACACAAATGTCGCACATGCGCAGCTCGATGACAACCCATTTTTTTTATTGTTTATTATTTATTACTTCAAAACTTGACCTTTATGCTCCAGACGAGTTCAGGGAAGTTTAATAGTTACTCAGTTGGAAAATTGGCTATTCACCCAACTATGGACAGGGTAGAGAAAATTGGTTAGTAAAAAAATGTTGGCTACTCACCCAACTATTGACTGGGTTAGAACAAATAAAATTAGCACATATTGTGATTTTCTCTGATTGTAACTGCGTAATTGACCCAACTTGATAACTTGACTTTTAACTTGTACCACTGTATCTGTAGACCCAACTATACTTTCATTCCAATACATATATACCGGGTATAATATATGTTCATTTCTCATATTTTAATATTTCTCACGTTATATTTAATTGTTCATATTGTGAAACAATTTTAATTATTACTCAAATCATGAGGCAATTTCTGAAATGGACAGACATCATTTTACAGTAGTGTTTGAAAACATTGATG